ATCCGTGAAGTTTTGCCTCGAATTACTTTTTCTTTGACGTTCATTTTGTCTTTGTTTATCCGTGAAGTTTTGCCTCGAATTACTTTTTCTTTGATGTTCATTTTCTCTTTGTTCATCCTCGAAGACCCGCCTGGATTTGCGTTTTCTCTCTCTCTGCTTGCCGCTTTTCTTCGGTGAGATTCCTTCGTCTTTGCCTTTCTTTTTCACGCCTCAAGAGCTTTTCTTCTTCCGACAAAACTCTCTTACTTCTGGCGTTTCTTTTACCTTCATTCTCCTCTGAGCAAACTTCTGTCGACATATCGATCTCCAAAAGTGGTTCCATTGTAAGAGTAAATATAAGCTTAATACAAAGTTGTTTGTTGTCTTTCGTTATTCTTACGTATAAATAACATCAGACATCAGGTGTAAAAATTTTTTTACCAAGGTTAATAATAGTCGGAATTTTAGGTACACATATTTGTACATGTGTACCCGGATGTTGCAACGCTTCGATATTCCGCCAAAATAAAAAGATAATCTAATACAGCCAACCGGGATCCCTGTGTTGTGTACACGGACGGACGGACGGAAGTGACGTCAGCCAAGCCATGAAAAGTCAACTCGATGGTTTACCATTTTTTCTTAAGTATGGTGCTCCGCTCGGCCCTTAGGCCCGCGCGGGAGCTCCGCTATAATTTTTTTCCATTTACTATAGATTTCACTATAATTTGTTTTCCATTTACTATAGATTTCACTATAATTTGTTTTCCATTTACTATAGATTTCACTATAACTTTTAATGACAATTTTAAATTTTATATTGCAAAAATAATTGAGATCTAGTAATTATGTTTTTAAGAATCAAATTTTTATTTTTATGTTAGTAAAAACACACAGGTGATTATTGAAAATCTCGCGCGCTGATTGGTCGAGAAACTCACACTATCATCACACGGTAATGGTAATCCAAAATGGCGGCTAGCCGCTTTGTTGCTGTTACCGGAGAGGAATTAGAAATAATGAAAGAAAATGCTGTCCCCAAAAGGACTAAAGAGGCTAACAAATTTGAACTTACTTTGTTCAAAGTTAAAAAAGGACTTAAAACAATCAAATAAGCCCAAACAAACTGTTTTGATTCGCAAAGTCGGAGTTCGCCTGTGTTGTAATTGAAAGCCGCGTTTGTCACTTCAATTAAATTTTTTCGTAGTTTTAAATGTGTCTTTTATCTTCTATTCTTTCCTTTTTTTGAAAGAATCACCTTTGGTATTTATACTAAAACAATTATTTGCCTAAGCCTCAGAGAATATCGGAGAATATTTACCTCGCCGCTCGAAGACTTGGCTCGGAGGCTGGTGGTGAATTGTGTACAAAATTCTCTTCTGTTCAAAACTTTTGCTTTCTTACAGCAATTCTACAATTGTATTTGAGGCGACTCGAAAGCAGCTCCTTTTCTTTCATTGAGAATATCTGAAATTAGGTCCCTAGCAAAATACGCGTTTTCAGTATGTGCCATAATTCAGATTTCCTTGAAAATTTGTCCTAAACATACCAAGATGTTGTTCTCAAGCATATATCAGAATTGGCTTGGGGTCTTTTTTACGACAGCTTTTATAATTGCCCTAATTCACTATAACGTCACATCAAAACAATCTTCAACAATCTATTATTTAAACCCAAAGCATCATGGTCGTCGGACGGGGTCAAATCAACGCAAATTCACCGAAAATTGTTCTAAAACCCGTATCAATCCACGAAGAGAAGTAGAATAGCCAAGAAACGCCCAGAATATTTTTTAGTGCATATTAACACATATTATATCTGAAAACCAGGCCATTTCAGATTAAGCTGTTTCGCTAGGAGCAAATTTTGTTGAATTTTCTATTGGATTTGGCGATTCTATCCCCCACATAAACAAGCAGTGACGTCATAGTGAATTAGGGCAATTGCTCGAAAGTTTGTCTAAATTCCGTATGTGGCGTCATAATTTAAGGTTGATAAGGCCCCGTCCACACTATGCCGGATAAATTTGAATCCGCAACTTTCGAAACCGAAAAAAAAGTTTTCCGTCCACACATGAAAACGGATAAAATGTTTCGCTTCCATACTAGCCCGGTCAGAGGCGGCAAAAACGCTTCATTGCACATCTGAGCATGTGCATCGAAGCTGAAATTGAGCCTGCGGTGAATTTTTAGATTTCCCGCCATGTTCCCAAGACAATCATGGCGTCATCGAGTATTCGAAAAATTTCGGGTACGAAATGCTCTCCGGTCACACTAATACGGCTAGCCGGCGTTTTCAAATTGTTCCACTATGGAGACCGTATTCGAAAAAAATTCGTTTTCGGTGAAGAATTGTTCCAGATTCGCCCGGACTAGTGTGGACGGTAGGCCTATCCGAATAAATAAAAATTCGGATTCAAATTTATCCAGCATGGTGTGGACGGGGCCTAAGAACTCGGAACGTCCTTACTCGAAACCAAGTATCTCCAAATAAAAAGTTGGATTTTAGCTCTACTATAAAAAAATATTAATCAGTATAGCATGTAGTATAGTATGTTTTACTGAATCTTAAGGACTAACGAAAAATATATCAAGTTTTTCTTATCAATCAGGTCATCTAGTCAGAGATTGCGTGACTGAGGTCGTTTATATTTGTAAACAATAGAGAGTAACAGGTTTCCAACGTAACAACGTGCAGTTGGAAAGCGTGTTCATTACGGTTCGTAGCACATTGATCACATTAAGTGAATATGTTTATTTTGTATATTCCCTTGTGAATATTTTAGTCATACGACATTTCATTATTAAAATATACGCTAAGTATATAAGTTAGTGTGATACTAAATGTATTCCTTTCGCTTGTTGGGCAGCCAACATTTGTATCCAAACTTATACAAATTTACGTTACAAATCTATCTTAGAATATAGCTCTAGCCCTCGGAGCATTAATACGTTGCATCGGTCGAGGACTACGTTTTCCAGTGGGCTTTTTTCCCAAGAGGTTTTATGAAACTGGTTTTTTCGTAGCGGGCAGCGTATTATTGTAATGTAATAATATAGAATCGTTTTCTAAACACTTGTAATAATTATGTATTCATATTAATGATGAAGTGCACATGATTTAAAATAAAATGCTGGTCTAACGCTGTCCACCAGGCACCCAGCACAGTCGCACTCCATTATGTTGTAGTGTCGTATATACTAGTGATTAGCGTTTGGTGCAAAGGGTAGGAATGAATTTAAGCTTCTCGTTTACGGCAAACGTGAAACGTCAGTTGACCATTAAAAAATTATTTAAAATTAGTGAAAAGGAATCGCAATGATCTCCAAGTAGTAGATGAAAATAAGAATATGTGTCTTTGTCGGGAAGGTTTGCAAAAGGTTAAGTGAATTGTAGGGAAACGATGAAAACGTGGTCACGTTTGCCGTTTGCAGGAAGAAAAAACGGGAATCTTAATCTGCCTAATATATATTCCAGATAGATGAGTATATATTACATACAATTCTCGCTGGATGGGATAGTTCTACATCTTCACGTATACTCATTACCTCATCGCAGAAGGTTAAGTTATGGGAGAAAAATCCGCGACAACTGAGGTAATAGGTATGTAATGAAGGTACACGTGGCGTGGTATGTCACCACCACCAGGGGAGGTGGGTGGGTCCAAAAATGTATCCTTCCACGGAGTCTAATCTGTTGAAGTGACCACGCTCTAGATGGGAGCGTATATTTATATGACAGAGACGCAAAGGATCATGGCTATCGATTATAAGCATGATCCCGTCGGAATCTGGGAGTTACATAACTTTTAGCGATGAGTTCATTAATTATGCAGTGAAAATAGTTTTTACTTTACTTTACTTTGGTTTTTAATCTTAAATTTCTTGACTTTCATGAAATGTTGACCGGTGGCCGGATCGGAATGAGGTTCATATTTAACGCATGGAATAAACGAAAGAAACCGACAAATCAAACAATCCCTTCCGCCTTGTCGTTTGTACCTCGATCACTTTCATGCCAAACCATTGCTTCAATAACATTCGTTTATAAATTCCCGACCGACTTTAATGACCAAACATGGCTGCAATGTGTTCATTTGGTTCTATTTTGGGTGGATCTTGTGGTCCTGATAGAGGAGATAGAAAGAAATTGTCGGAAATTATTCCACTTCGAAGCTGTAACAAAGATATCTCAAGGCACAAATCAACTTGCTGTATAACAGGAGTAGAGACTGAAGTAGAACTGATCCTTGCAAGAGCCAAATTCTTTGAGGTTCCAGAAAACATGCAAAATTGGACTATTTGCCCTTCACATTGAGCGTCACTAGGAGTTGATTGGCGAAGAGGTTCAGAAAGATGTACGGTCCCGCAAGAAATATCAGGGCACGGAAAGGGAATAAAATGGCCAAAATCCGAAAGAGGTCTCGATAAACAGGGATCACAAATACTACTTCAAAGAACAGGGGTATTTTTACCAGTTGGTTCAGGTAAGATTTGCCAAATAGTCGCTTAGCCAAATGCACAAATAAAACACGCATAATTATTCGAAGTAGAATTGCTGGAAAGGTGCTAGAATTGCTGACGCCTGCAATGACCCCGCGGCTCATACTAGTAAATTTCAACTCCAAGACTTTAGGTATTTTAAATAAAGTAGCTTTTTCTTTGCTTGCCGCAAGTATTAGATGAGGGGATGTGGTCTTTAACATAGCAACAATAGGTAGGTCGCTCAACCATGACACTTATTTTTTTACTTTTTTAAAATTCGTAACTTTTAACAGGTATTTGCCGCTATTGTTGTAGAGGTATCCTCGAAACCAGCTGCGCAGTCGATAAATGTATGGAGACGCTCACAGACATTGATGAAACTGAGATATTTACGAGCCTAAAAGGTTTAACTTCGGTGAGCGAAAAGGGGTTGTTTACGAAAGGGAAAAATATGTTAGTCATCTCTGGTGGGTGTGGCAACAAATGATCAAGCGTGTGTACCGAGAAGATTTATTATCCAACTAGATTAATTCAAATAAATGAGGACTGGCTTTAGGCTTTATAACAAACCATAAGGGTAGCACTACGTTATATTACAGTAATCATATAATATATATAGATATACTGAGATCACTCAGTYCCGTTAATTAAGCTTTTCACTTTTTTACTTTTATTAATAACTGTACACTTAATTCATGTACACTAAGCTGCCATGACTTCATATTTTTAAGCAATAAAAACAATGAACTGTTTAATTGTCGTTTACGTAATAGGCTGATTGTACATCAAGTACCATTCCCCTARCTCAGAGCACGCCGGCAAGATTTTTATGCAA